TAAATAATATAATTCATATTATTAATCTTAAATTTTGAACTTATACAAATGTTCTCTTTTTATTTATTTATTAAAAAATAAAGAGATAAAAATGGAAAATAAAAAGACAATAATAGAAATTTGAAGAATATTATTAAAAAAATAGAAATTAACAATGTAGATTTACCATTACGACGGCGACGGAAATAAAAACTAGAAATTAACAAGAATAATTTTTGTTAAAAATAATTGCCACATGTCAGTATTAGAACCGCGTGTGCCCGAGAGAGAGTGCAAATGGGCGACTGCCCCTAACAATGCTCTTACAAAAATATTTATCCATTGTTACTCTTTAATTCTAAAACCAAGAAAACCAAAAAAAAAAAAAAAAAAGTAATATTTTTCTTCTGAGAAGAAGATAAGGTTCGTCTTTGAATATTATTTTTTACCCATTATAGTAAAAAGTTCAGCGTCTTGTCACCTTATTCACAGGCTCTTTCATTTGGAAAGAGGCGTTGCTTTTTCTCTGCGGATGGAAGGAATTTTTACCACTATTTTTTTGACTTCATAGAAATTTGTCTCTCTCTTATCGTTGGAAATTTACCAACCCACGAATCTTTTCTTAACTCACATTTTTTTTAATATATTATTTTATGTAAATAATATGGCCGGCAAAAGGGACATCTTTACCACTATTTTTTTTTGTAAGGTAATGGTTAGAAAGTTAGTATAAGTTAGTATAAGTTAATTATTAGTAATTAATTTTTAGATCGGGTGAATATTTCATCCCCTCAAATGAAGCACGTGGCCATCAAGTTGTTTTTGGATGAAGTTCACGACGATAGTAAAATTCGAAACTTCGACCACTTCACCCAAACACTTAAGGTTTGGGTCGAACCATTAGATTTAAAAATCCGATTTAACTTCAAAGAAATTTGTCTCTCTATTGTTGTTGGAAATTTACCAACCCACGCAATTTTTTTTAATGTATTATTTTATTAAAATAATATGGCCGGCAAAAGGGACATCTTACCGCTATTTTTTTGACTTCATAGAAATTTGTCTCTTTATCATTGTTGGAAATTTACCAACCCACGCATTTTTTTTTAATGTATTATTTTATTAAAATAATATGGCCGGCAAAAGGGACATCTTTACCACTATTTTTCGACTTCATAGAAATTTGTCTCTTTATT